TGAGAACCGAAGTTTTTCGGATGTGAAAACCGAAGCACTTCAGATGTAAGAACTAAAGTTTCAGATGTGTGATGTAAACCTCAGCAGCTGGACCTAAAGTGTTCAGATGCTCAATCCGAAAACTTCAGAGATCCATATGACCTAAACTTCGGGTCCCACGCACGAAGTTTTTTTCTCCGTGTAGTATGGAACACGTTCAATGTGATCGAACGTTTTTTGGATGGTTGGACTGAGGGTCGTATTTAAAATCGTTCTTTAAACAGCTTCTTTCCGGAGGAGTTTTGCACTTTCTTCGTTGATATGCTTCTAAAAACTTTTAGTAGGAGCTCAGCGACGGTTAAACCGTTTCGTCTCTTCCCTCGCGAAAGAACGTTACCACGTTTGGAAAATGTGGGTAAATATTGAAAGGGCCTTTCAAAAAGTAATTTAGTACTTGTTAGCAAAATCAATTTATTTACAATATATTATCACAATTAATCAATCACATGAATTAGTCAGTTAATCAAATCATTAATTGCCTTAAAACGAATCATTTTAACGAACATAATAAGTGAAGTATTTAAATAAATAAGTAAACGGATAAAATGCATAGATGAAGGTTTTACCTATGTCGGTTGGAGGTAAGAAAACTGATCCAGAATAGTAATTGCAAGTGTAATACGTAATGATGCTTTATCAAATTTCAATTTTTTTAAAAAATCAATTGCGCCTGTTAATATTTCTTAAAAATTACTTTTAAAAAACAGCTGGCACTACAGTAAAGCTAGACTGGAGGCTGCCAAAATATTCCTCAAAGGAAAGTTTCAAGTCAGATGTGACTACACAAATTTTTCTTCGTCGCAACTGCTATTTTTTCAGTGCAAGACAGAATCGTCAAGGAAAAGTTTCAGTGCCACCATGAAGACTATTTCTTAAGTGAATTTTGAACACATTGCCATCACGTTTGAATGTCTATTATGAAGTCTTCTTTTTCGTTTAACTCATTTTGCATGATATGGAACAATCGAACATAAAGTTTCATATTCCAGTTCATATTATCAGATGAAGCATTCTCTGGTAAAAATTGGCGATAAGAGCCGCGTTTCAAAATACCATAGGAATTCTTATAGCCGGCTAAAGAAAGCTACAGAAAATCATATAGCTGGCTGTAGAATGCGGAGAAAATCATACGGCCGGCCTGAACGAAGCGATAAAAAATTATGCAGCCGGGCTATAGTTCCTATCGCCGAGCTTTACACTTTATCGCCTGGCTGTTGCTTTTTCGCCATCGATTATAAAAGGCTTTAAGAAGTTGTGTAGATATTCGTGTGCTTCGGAAATCATTAAGTTAGATACTGAACCGCGCCTTAATACTTACAAAACACACATTATATTTTCCTTTAATACATATTTATTTTCATCAATTAAAATGAGAATAATCCATACAGGATGTGCAAACATTTCAAAATCATCAGTTGAATAACGCTGGCTCCGCCAGATTAAATATTGGAACCTAACACAAAGCGGAGCGGCGACGCACTGGCGCCTACAAACCTAACAGGGATACTTCACGCATTGCGCAACGCGTGAAGTATCCCTGTTAGGTTTGTAGGCGCCAATGCGCGTTTCGCGCTGGCTGCCCTCCTGCCGCGCCGCGCCGCATAGCGTGCCACGGCGCTTGAAGCAACTATTTCACACCAGAGGTATTGCACTGTATCATACAAAACTGAAGGCGCTCTATAATATATTAGGAATGGCTGGCATCCATCGAAAGTACGGAGCTTTCCTCGCAAATTAAATCTAGATACTACGGCCCAAAAAGAGAGCAGTAGTCCAAAAACTCACTAAGTCCTAGCATTCGTAATTAGTAACGTTTAGCATACACTTTATCGCCTGGCTGTTGCTGAATCGCCATCGGCTATAAAAGGCTATAAGAAATTGTGTAGCCGGCTATAGAAGCTATTAGAAATCTTACAGCCGGCTGTAGGTCTATGGTATTTTGGAACACAGATTCTACTGCCAATTTTTACCAGGGT